TTCCTCTGAATCGGGCAAACTCCATAAGCTTGACATTGACATGACAATGCCAGGTGCTCGATATACTGCAACCATCTGACAAGCAGTCTGCTCGATGGCCATCTGCCAAGAGCGCCCATTATTTGGATCTGCGCTTTGGTATCCTGACTCCCTGTCAGCACTGTTGCTATTACTTCGGCCTCTCGAGCTAGAAAAGGAATGATTCATTGAAAGGGAGTTTCTTTTTGTCGCGTTTCAAGGTTATCGAACCTCTTCATCTAAACAATCTTTCGGAAAAACAATTTTTTCTGTCGCTTGTACTCAGAGTCACATTCCTGAGGTCAATTCAGAATAAATGTTATCAAAACAGCATTAGCAACAAAATATAAGCTAGCTTTGTTTCCTTCTTCAAATAAGTTCTCACTCATTTGCAAAACCAATCAGAACTTCCTTTAAGAAAATACGCAAGATCCTCACACTAAAACGTACCTCAAACCGTGCTAGCACCAGCGATTAATTTTTTGGGCCGATTCACAGACGCGTCTTTGCCTGTACTTAACACTACATTCGCGAGAAGAAACGACGACATGCCTCAGATCAAAGGGGTGTTGTCTGTTTTGTCATCATCAGTTTTAGCTGTCTTGTAAAACTGCATGGGCTGTAAAGACTGATGATGTCCGCTCACCTCAACATTTAACATTTTGAAATTAGGTCGCGTCTACCTCATCGAATATGGACCAAATACTAATGGTGGTAACGGCGTGATTGCAACAGAATCACAGTAATGCGCTGTTTCCACAACTTAAGCAGTTACAGTGTAGCTAATACTCAATCAGAGTAACGAGTTTTGCAGGCCGCCAGCTGCCCGGTCCTCTATTTATGGATGTGAGGGATGAGCCTTAAAAATGTAAGAGATGAGGAAACTGGAATCCTTCGGCCATTGGTGCTTACGAATCATTTCGCAGACACGATTTGTCGACCATATATCCAATGTTACAGCCCTTGCCAACTGCAGCATCGTCCAGCTTTCTACTGTTCCGAAAGACGGTACCATCTTCATAACAGTGAACACCACCCCGATTCCTTGAATGGCATCGGAAAGAGGTGGACAGGTTAAGGGCCGGTGGTACCTTGCCATAGCTGACGTTGAAATCCGGCAGTGTACAGATTTAAACGGTGGAAGTAGAACTGGCTGAACCTGGTGGTGGACACTGTGCTGACCGACAGAGGTGGAAAACAGCGATGCGGGACGTCACTGGAGCCGTCAAATCCAGCGACAGTGACAGCCGTAACAACAACACTCAAAGCGCGTACAGAAGTTACCGAAGGTCATGGCGGATAGCAGGAATGGAGAGGAACAAGAGTAAGTACAACGCTCACCTACAGCGGATGGCCGATCCTTACACAGCCGGTTATTGTGGTCTTCTTGACTTAATCAGCACCATACGTTTTAAACAGCGCTGCGAGGTCTAGCATGACTTCTACAAACGGGATATAAACCTAAATTGTTATTACTCTTCGATGATAAGCGCATAACTTTCCCAAACACAATCCTTACTGTAGTATTTCCATGCTTTTCGGTGGCTGAAAGTTATTTAGGCAGGTCGCAGCTCCATGCTAATCGAACACCGTCAACATGGTAAGTCTTCTTATTCTTCGTTCGTGTAGACGGAGATGACTAACAAAGTTTAATCGAAATAGCGAAATTTCCGAGCGGGCAGATGGCCCTTAGACTAACGTCCTCTATATCACTTACCGTGTCATCAAATTTCTGAAGTGGGAATTCAGATGTAATTCCTCCTGGTAAGGTCTTCATGCCAGTATCTTAGATGACGGTATTGATGAGGAATCACTCTACCGAATAGAATGACGCGAGACGTATCTCTCATCACCGGCCCTTGGCAACCAGAAACATGGGCTGGTACGAAACGCTGGAAAATCTAATCTCTGAGAAGTTATGGGCCAAATAACCTGCTCCGTCCCTACGAACCAATATCTTGACCTTTACGAGGTAACAGTAATGAGGACTAGTTTGACATGAGCATCTGCTTCGTCTGAAAGCAAAGTAATATAAGATGCGTTAAACAGTACAAATTCTCAAACACGATGGAGCCGTGACCTTCTTAAATGCTCCTAGGTGACTATGACGCTGCAAAATTCAGTCTCTAAGGAATTATGCTCGCGCTAGCATAATTCGGCAAGCGAAATTGATCATTTTAATTATTCTGCATTGCTCTTCGTTGCTCACAATGAAATTTGGTTAGAAAATATGCTTCTTAGGCAGCCAAATAAACGCTCAATTTGAGATCAGGCAACGGTGAAACTTCATTCATGACTCCGTCATTACTTTCTGTTCATCACTCTTGCTGAGGTTCTAGATTTAACCGTTGGCGGCAAGATATTAATCGAAAAAAAATTAATTTCAACATCGACGTTTCAATTGATCCGGCATCGGCTATCAACCTCAGGCTGTCGTACCTCTGAACCGATGAGTGCGCTCTCATCTGAACGTCACTACAATGCTCAGTGCTATTCTTTCCCTTAAGTTTGTGCTGTCAACCATGACATCTAGCAAGCCAGAAAGACTCGTCCGTCTAGTGCACGGTATCGGTGATCGTTTCAATTTCTTTGGTAGTGTCTGTTTATCTTACTATATCTCGCAATACTGATAAGTCAAACTTTTCTTAGAAGATCAGTAAAGCCTTAGTGCCTCAATGAGTATTCTGAGTCGGCCATACACCGTATGACGTTAATACGGTGATATCTTCATGGAAACGACAATGCTAACTGAATCAGCGTTATGTCGGGTTAGATTTGTATTGTTCTTATGGGGGAGAGTCCATACATTCGCAATTTAATACTAATTTTAAAATAGTTAGTGAAATCGCTCTTCTCTGTCCATAGGAGCATTATCACGCACTGGGTACTCTGGACTTTAATTTATTAGCACCAAAATAACGCTTCCCTTGCTGAAAAAATTCTGAAGCGAACCATTACTGGAAAATGTCCTTATTGATTCACGCTTTCCTGTTCGACCTTCATAAAATGGGCACATCCTCTTGAGAATATCCCCTCGTTGCTCGAGATGTCAATCATTAACAGATACGATTTCCTGAAGCATTATCTCCTAGCATAACTGTGATTTTGTCTCAAGCAGCTTCAAACCCTGGCGCGTACTTCTCTTCATGCGATGTGAAAGTGCAATGATATTTTCTTCCAATTGAGACTTTTCATCCGAATTCAATATAAGTTCAGGATGATAATAATCACGCTTGATGACTGCTTCACCCGCTGTGGGAACTTCAGGCACTGCTTGGTGGTCAGAACTAGCCGCCTCACCATACATTTTTATGCTGTGTAAATTTGAATTTCTCAAGCCACTCACGACTGGCTTCAAATAATTCTGTTGATGGTACTCCACTGATACTGAAAAGAGGTAAATATGTTTTTTGCCTTTTCCATGATGGCTCATAAGCACACGATATTGATTCTGTTCTTCAGACCATATGCTTAAATAACAACGTCGATTTTGTCCAACAAAATTACTTCTAGAACGCATTAATTTCGCTACAGTCAGTGCAGTAGTGAACCTAGCAGATGTTTTTCTGTTTTCGGAATTCCATATGATCACTTTGATGTTTGATATAATAGACATGGATTTGACAAGCACGGCATTCATCCACTTGTCGCTCGTCCGATTCAAGCCGCTTCAACACTTTCATCTTAACTTCATGCGATTGATTTGTTTGCATTTTACACGAAGCCTTCGACAATGTCAAATGTTTACTTTTTGTTAGTCGTTATGGGTCAAACATTTTCATAAACACGCGAAGAGGATTCAACTAATAATCCTCGGGAGTATTGCTTCCGCTCTGAAAGAGCTGTATGTAAGAATCATGTGCGCTGTCAAAGTCAAAGGAGAGCAATCGTAATGGCTCATTGTAAACTGTGGAGTTGACCAGAAAAATGTGCTTTCGCCCTTGCTGCTCGACACTGTTCATGAATTTCTCCTCCGAAGCAGTGCTGACCTTGGCAAAGATGAACGTTTCATTTTCAGGGGAAAGCGTAATTCAAGGTATCTGGCAAGACGTCCTACTGTCCTGGAGTACGCAGGTGGTATTTCTCTTGCGAGTAGTACGCGAAGCTGGCTCTGTCTCGTGGTTAAACGTCATTTCCTTAATGCCCGGAAGCCAAAGTTATGAGGACCCATCCGACAAAGCTGAACTGGAAATGGAACAGGAAGATGGAGCGCTTCAGAAGGCCGACTAAAGCAAGTATCTCGGTTACATCACCTCAGGCAATGGCACCATCCAGTCAAAATTAAATATGAAAATCACCGTATCCTCGAGCGCAATTCGAACATGTCCAGTATTTGGCTTGATAAACTTGTTACTCTTCCCACAAACCTCCGCATGTATCTTGTCTCTGTCAGGTCAGAGCTGCTGTAAGGCGTGGCGACTGTTGTCCTAATGAACGAGAAAATACGGTAGTTTAACTACGT